GTAATTATTCAGTACCAGAATGTATAAAAATGTATATAATGTAGAAAATGTAGTTTTTCTAATTTCATCTTTAATTCTTTAAATACTTTCTCCTATAAATATGACTTCATTATCAGACTTTCCTTTAAATTGCGATTTATTTAATTAAAGATTTTCAATCAGGCAAGAATAAAATTTCTACACCATGAATATTCATTAAATAAAGAACTAATTAGCAAAACAGTAGCACTATGTTTTGCACAAATTCATTATTACATCTCCAATTAAGATTATTCAATAAACGCCATTTCGTTATTACAATTTCAATAAAAACTGGCCATGGAACTCAAAACATTAAAAGGAATACATTAATCTATGATTTGCATAAGGCCAACAATAATGATTTACTCTAGAGCCAGTGTCGATGGTAATTCCGTCAAAAATGAATGATTGCTGGTGTTAGTGTCACTACATTAATCATAAATATTAGTTCTCATACACGCATGTAAATATAGTAGTTTTTATTACTAATTCTCGTTGACAAATGTGACAGTTAATGTCTTCTTGAATTAAAAGATTACATTGTATCCTTCGCCTTTTATCGTTTACGTAACAAATTATCTTATAAGCTCATAAGAAATGCTGTGACATATACTGTGACTCACAAATTCATTTACAAAATGTAATGATACATTCTTACGTGTCTAAACCTTCTTCAAAAATTCACTAAACGTGTATCAATGAAGTGTATCATAAAATTCTAGAAACGAAAATACAGATTCTAAACCAGAAATTTTATAAAAATTATACTTTTATAGACTAATTTATATGAACGAATATGAAATAGGAATTTCTTTATGTTAGTATATATTTGATTCTATTTTCAAATGTATCGACACAATCATTTGCTTAAATCCGTCTTCGAAAGATCGTCAACTACTAGGATTACTAAATTTCTTAAACTAAAAACTAAAATAAAATAACACATATACAAATAAAAAATAAAATAACACATTACAAAATAGTGTAATCATCCTATATCCATCAGTCGTCGATATTGAAAACCAAATTTTTAAAAACTGAAAAGATATATCAATAGTAATAGTCGCAGTTGCATAAGAGTTGAGATGCAAACCATACAAGGGGCGCAATAAATGTTTCCCGTAGGTGCTACCGATGCATGAAATCAGCATCCAATAATAAAGATAACGTTTCTGCAGCCGGTTTTGAATCTCTACGAAGTATTCTGTGAATCATCCGAATGTTTACCCCGACAATCGTCCATTCCAATTTTAAATCGCACGTTAAAAGGACATCGCACCTGATTATCGGGTGACAACACAACCAATGCGATGCGCTTAAAAGAACAATGAAGAAAAATAACTTGAAACAATAGAATCTGGTATTTTGTACATGCCAAAATTGAGGAAAATGTCATTTGATTATACATTACTGATGATAATTCAAACGTAATAATTGATACAATTACAGATTACCTATTCTAACACTTTCCTATTTTAACAATCTCCACGTCACCTGAATTTTATTGAAAAAATTGTTTCTATATATTTAACCTTTTAGCTACTATACGCCACTAACTACGCAAAATATTAATCTCTTATATATAACGTTAATTCTTCCAAATTTATGTATATTCTCTCATTAATTAGTTTCAAAGAATGTCTTCTATATCTATATCTATATAAACATCGGAAAGTATTGAATATTTCTGGTGAAGAACTTTCGAGTGCAAAAAATAAATCTTCAAGTATTGTTTTCCCACTGCAACGTGTCTCTATCGTGGCTGTTATTCTCAGTAGTTTTAGTTTTAATTATACTAACGATGGTGTAATATCTGTATGAAATATCTCAATGTAGCAATAGCATCAACTATATATAACTATAATTTCACTGGTTTCAAAATTCACGATATTTTATATACTGGTCTGTGAGTTGTAGTGTGAAAATGAAATCACGCCCATACTTAACCCTTTGCGATCCAACGCCGAGTCTGACTCAACATAGTTATTAAATGTAGTAATTATAATTATTTTAATTATATTTGTACGCCAATTAATTAATTTATATTAAAAGCAATTATTAAAGGTCTTTAATTGTTTTTCAGCTTATTTTATACTTAATACTGCTTATAACTTTACTAAAACTGAGACAACGTTCTTAGGTATATAATGAATTGATAAAAGTAAAAAATTAATTCAAACCGAACTACTGGGAATAAGAAAAATTAATTCGGACCGCAAAGGGTTAAAGGCTAATATGAAATCGGATCGCAATTTGTTCAACTTTAGCACAGGCACGTTCATGTCGATTTTCGACCTGATAATTCCAACGTTCAAATCCAATTTCCATGAAGAAGCAATGTTGAGAAGGACAAGTTTACAGACGGAAACGATGTGTTATACGAAAATAAATTTGCAACAGAGCCTCCGGTCATCGGTAACTGACTAGCGGATTGACGTTTTACTGTGATCCGAAACAGGAAGCATCATTGAACCGTGCAACCACGGTGTACAGGGAAAAAACGGTGAATAACGAGGTTCTCTGGCTACTGTCCTTCGAAACGTACCACAAAAGTAAGTTAACTTCAACCTGTGTGGTCCTCTTATCTTCAATAGAAAATATATTAATCATAATTCCATTTGTAATTATTATTCAAAATATATTAGAATAATATTATTTATTATTTTTGAACTATTTTTTTTTACTTCATTTTATAAACCTTTCTGTAAATTTATTTTATTTTGATAAAATGAATTATTTATTAATCTAAAGGTGGTGTTAGATGAGAAAAATAAATCAAATGTATAGAATGAGATTTAATCTCGTGTTACTTCGTTTTTAACGAAATTCAGACCGAGTAAGTTGAATTATATATCTTGATGATAGGTAATTAGTACTTACTAAGAAACATTAGGTTGTTACTGGTTTTTAAAGTAATTCTGGTAAATAAATTAAATTTTTCTCTTTAATATGAAATGTTAAATGTAAAATAAATTTGTGTAACTTTAATTCAGTTGATAATATATAGGAAAGAACTTCGTAACTTTACTTCGTTGTATTTTCTAAATTTAATATACATTTCGGTCCTTGTATATTTACTAAATACATTCGTCAAATATTATAGCATATTATTATATAGAATTATTTATGAAATTATTGATGCCGTTACATATTGTTACTTATTAGAAAAAGATATTCGATTTCGGCTAAGTGACTCCGATTACCATTTGTATAATGACATCGCGAACATGTAAAGATGACCAAGAATTGTAAACTGAGACAATCAACTAGATCAACGGTAGAATTTTATTGAATTTTTATGTCATGTTTTATGGTACAGAAACACCTACAGATTATATTACTCATTACGAAACCGCTTGCGGTCTCTCTCTCTCTCCCCCAGGAAGAATAGAATGTAATCGAATGAATAAGGTGAAGCTTAGAACCGCTTCTAGGAAATATTTTAATGATTCCTGTAATTGATCGTTATTCAGTAGTAAGGTCGAGTTCTTAAATTTCAAGTTCTTAGTATACAACCACTTCATGTTCTCTTTCTAGAAATGGTGCAATGCCAGTATATCACACAGCATATGACGCAGGTAATAGTGCCGCGTCAATAGCTGTTAACATAAACGTTTGACGATAGAGATCATTATCCAAGAAGAATTATCGGTATGACGGGAGAATATTCTAGAAACGTTCATTAAAGAAACGTTGATATGTTACGTTTCCTACTAGCATTCCATCAGTGCACCACTAGTAATTAATGAAGAGCGCGATTAATGTACCGATCGGAAGGTCGTAAGGAATATTTCGTGTCACATTCCCATTTAATGTCCATTATTATTCACAAAATCTGAATAAAATATAAAGTAGCATCGCATACATAATGATACATTGTTTTGTTTGAGAAATAAGGTGAACGGGAAATGATCGTAGAAGATGTAAACAGCAGTTACTGCTTCCAAATTATTGAAAATGGAAACACATGATCTTCGTTGTTTAAATATTAGTTGCAAGTTACAATATATAAATAAATATAATATATATTATTATATATAAGTAATTACTTCGAGACAACATTAAACTTTATAAAAAAAGTGAGCGAAGAGTTAAATGGAAACTCTTCTAACACTTTAAACCAGTTAATGTTTGCATTAAACTATATCTTAACATATTTGCAAACGATGGAAATGTTTCATTTTAAAAAATGATTTTGCGTCGTTAGCATTTAGTATAAATAGGTTGAGTACAATAACAAGTATTCTAGCAATGAAATTTCATTAAATTTAATGAATAAAAATTTTACTCAGTTCACGAAGCAACCATCAAACTTCAATATCCAAAGAAGAAAAAGAAGTGTTCATATTTTAATCACTAGTGTTAACACTGGATTTACGTAACCCGTTATTTTGATGCATATTAATATTTATAAACATTATTTGGTAAAGATTTGTATTACTTTTATTTGTATTATTTGTATGCCCCAATATCCAAGATCTGCTTAACACGTTTGCTACCAACGTCACCTTTTGTGACGATCAATGTTTAATATTTTGTGCGAAGAAGAGGAAATTACATTTACATGGGCTTTTATGTAATATTGTAACACATGGTATAATGTACAGGAAATCGCAATAATTTGTTTTCTTGAGTATTATTTGTATTTTGTAAAAACGATATGTTTTATTTAATAAACTACTGTAATCGCTGAGACTGTTATTGAAAGAAGTGCTAGTAGCGAATGGGTTAAATGAAGCTCTATTGTTCTAGGAGCAATACCATAAAAAGTACAATAAATGTCGTCCATAAATCTAACGTTAATGCCTTGCAATAAAATTGGTGAATCAAACTTCGTATAACATTGTAAAAACTGTATTGACAATTGCCTTTTTAAGTTTCCTTAAGATTAAGAACAGTGAGGGATTGAATAATAAAATACTTATCGTTCCATGAATTCCATATTGTTTGATACTTCCAGAGAAACAAGCGTGTAAGTATAAGAATAATCAATATCGTTTATTTATTTTTCTTTTACAGCAAAGAGTCCATTATTATAAAACGAGCATTGTTCGTTAAATCGTAAAATTAATATATCGTTACTCGTAAATAGCTCATGAAGACACATTTAGAAACGTGTAATTGATGTCATCACAATTTAAAATATTCATTCCAAAGAAGTAAAAAGTACGCTTTTTATATTAACAGTATATTTCATTGATATACTACTTACAATTTCTATCGCGAACTAGAATTTTAATTTGAACGAAGAATCTAACGAATGGTGGTACACTTTTATGTACGTGAAAATTCTATCAATGTTATTAATCCCTCTCCCTGCATCTTCACATCATAAATCTCTTTTTCATCGCTAATTCCATATTGCCAAGACGGCGTTTCAACCACGGGAATTATTACAATAATGCAACCATTTATCCCTGATACTGCGAACTGAATCAGGAATCCTGACCGAGATTCCTGTTCTGATTCACAGAAATCACAAGAAAATAATTGTTCCTCCTCGAAGCGTTGTATACTTTCCTTACGATGAAATCTGATCTGAACTTAGGTAATCTTTGCTTTTAACGAAGCATGTTCTCTGTTCACAGAATTATTGCAAACATTATTCCTTCTATAAGACAACTGTCTGCACGCTGATTCATTTCTCGAGTGATCCGAGACGCGAATATATGGAATCGCCAAATTGGACGTTCTGTCTTGATCCTGCAAGTCGAAAAGTTTGGAGAATGAAAAGTCTTTGAACACTTTCGGCATGCTTTGACAGAACTTCTGAACCGAATCGTTAAGGGACGAGTTATTTGACGTTGGTTTGTTGCTGTTGTTTCGTCGACGAAGCTTGATGGAAATTATCGAAGCTACCTCGGTCCTTATAATCGAGGCTGATCGTAACTTCACCGGTCGCTGACAATAGACTTAAAAGGTCTGACTGGCTCACTGCTAAGCCACTTATGTTGATGTCACACTTTGATTTTCCGTTTACAGGTGGACGGCTTAGCAACGACATTACTTCCTGTAACACTTCTGTTCCTGGACATAATTGTTCCTTCGAAGATTCGTTGTTTTCCTCGTCCTGTGGCTTTGTTTCTAGGGTATTCCTGCTTATCCTCGTCGATGTTGATGCGTCGACGATCCTGCTCTTGTGAAGTATCGTCGATTGCGCTGATGGAGCACACTGAGTGGAAGCCGGAAGGTTCAATCTTTGCGTCTCATCGCTCTCGAATTCCTTGAACGACACCGATTTATTGCCTCTGTAAGCATTTGCATCGAAAAACATGATTATTATCATGAGTATAGGAAGATGCAGTAAGTAGTACGCAAGGTAGGGAAATTGAAGAATGGTTAGAAAGGTTAAAAAAGAAAAGGAAGAAAATAGAGATTAGTAATGGAAATAGGGAATATCCATCAAGTGATCTCCTAGCAGTAGTTATGATCATATGGCTAAAATATCATCGGTATAGTTAAATACGATCGGTATAGCTAAAATATCATTCTTATTTGTATTGCTAGTGTTATTTCAACTTTTATGCACAGATATCTGAAATCTATACTGAAATGGGAATATACTACTTTAGTTGTTGCTAATTAAAAATTTTAAAAGCTTTCCAGTGAGTTACTTTTTTCATGTAGGTATTTGTTATACAATTTCCGGAGAATTGCTCGACTCGGTCATTACGGTGGAATAAAAGCTACTGTTTTCTCGTGAAAATATATGTAATGATAAACTAATGACCTTGTCCAAATTAACGTCTTTAAATTCTTCAACTTCTTCACTATCGATGACGGTCTCCTTGCTTTCTCATCATTCAAGTAATTATGATTGCTGTCTAGACCAGCAGAAATGGCAAATTCATGCTGAACTGGTTTGTACGTTGTCGAGTCCAAAATCTCACAGTTATCTGATACAGAAGTTACAGGTCGTGCCTCAACTTGTGCCTGTACTATCTTCAATGACCCACCATGCATATCGGAAGATGCATTTGTGATATTTTCCAGTTGGTTCTTTAACGCAGATGACCAAATTTTCCCCGATAATCTAAAATATTGCTTTAATTAATGCTCAATACTTATCAATCCAAAACATTCTTACATTAATAATTTATCAAAGGAAAATAAAATAAAATGTACTGTAGCGTATCGTTTAACCCATCCGCTACCAACGTTTGTTTCAATAACGATACTCACAGTAATATGTTTTATTAAATAAAATTTTTTAAATAAAATAAAGTTTTTACAGAATAGAAATAGTATTTAAGAAAATAAATCTCCTCAGCTTCCTGCATATTATAACTATACGTTACAATATTAGATAAAAACACACGAAAATGTTATTTACTTTTCTATACACAAAATATGAAACATTAATCGTCACCATTATGTGACACTGATAACGACTGTGTTAAGTTACTTGTATTAATCTGGACTATAAAACAGATAAAATATCAATTTACATTTTTCTATTTACAGCCTCAGAGGTTATTGTTCTTCAAATATTTCATAAAAGGCAAGGATACTAAATTGCACTTTTTTATATCAATCGTATAATTTTACACTTAATTCACATGATTTAATTGACAAATAATATATAAAATGTCACCTTATTCGTAATTATACAAACAATTAGAATTACATACAATATTAATTCTACATATTATTTACATTGTATATAGTATTAAACACACATTCGAGAAATGTTCATCTGAAATGTTTTGTCATTGAAAAACTGTGTACTTACTAAATCAAAATATGTATGTACCATTAAAGTAAAAAAATAACAAAGAAGATCATCTTTAACAGTTTTTCAGTAAATGATCCTAAAATCAAAAGTAACCAAAGAAACTCGTACGCAGTTTGTTTGTAATGAATTAATTATTATTTCAGAAAGTCTATTACCTCCGACGATTAAGGGGTGGAATGACAGGAACAACTTGTGGTTCTTCCGAGGAAACCGGTTTCGTGTCTTGCACTACCTGTTTCATTTCCTTCCCATCACTAAGATCGTTAAAATTCTGTCTACTGTCACAAGTATCCGAGAATATATCATTCGAGAGTTCACACATTCGATGGGGATGCGATATCTTGATATGAACCTGTGGCGATACACTTTCGATCGATTCATTTCCGTCTAAAAATTCCGTCACAAATTATACATTTAGTTTAACTAAGTTAGTATTTATTAAATATTATAATATATTATTTTATTTTCTTATATAATTTATAATTTTATTTTATACTTTATCGAATATTATAGTATACTATTTATTGCACAGGGTGCCCCAGATTTTTCCAGCTAAACGTTCAGTTAAAAACGCTCTATTACAATGTTATAAAGAAATGAAATTGAAATAAGTAACGTTGGATTTCACTTCGCAGAATATGAAAGGTTGAACGTATTTGCAGACCGTTTCCAACCTAACTTCAAATAATATTTTTTTCTTATTTTCACTTGTCGAATATGCTCCCGCAGTTTGTTTTATTTCTCAACACAACATACTGACACTTCATAATATACCCATTCCTACAATAGTGAAATAACTGAAATAAGTAAAATAACTGGCTATAAAATAAAGATAAACCAGTTAAGGGATATATTTTTCTTAGCGAAAATGGAAACGTCTGGTTAATCAATCGATGTAAGAATTGATATGAAGTTAAATAGACAAAAGAAATTGAGGAATATTATATCAAATTTTAAAACCGGTCATTTCACCGGTTGCAGTAAGCTTAGCGTTAACCCCTTGCCCTATGATTTATTTCATAACTATGCTCAGTATAACTACTTTATCGTTAATAATTTATTAGGAAAAAAAGCAATTTTGATGTTTATTCTATACTCACGTTTACTCCAAAGGTTAACAATTGATAATAGAGAGTAATATTTAATTTATATTTGGAAAAAAATAAATGACACTTAGATTTCTCAAATTCAACTTAAAATTTTCGATAGGAATCTGACATAATATTGTAGGTCAAGAGGTTAAAACAAAGGTAGTCCGTATAATACGTAAGTACCTTTTTCTGTGCATTGAGCACGATCTTCGTCGCAAAATTTTCGATAGCAAAATGGTCCGATAGAAGCTGCTATAAAACCAAATATGAGACACAAGCACCACATCACGATCATACAAAATATAAAAGGTAACGCAAGCAAATAATTGCTGCTCACTTTCCAATGTTCCTCCATGTACTAAATGTAGAAAGAGAAAGACATAATGTCACATACACAAACACTTCCGCTAAAGTCTTACCTACTCGATCCTACAGAGAGGGAAAATATTTGTGTATTAATATAATCCAACGTATCGAAATCCAAGTTCGAAATAATTACTGTTTACAAAAGCAGAGAAAATAAAACAACGCGGATTACAGAGTATCTATATTCGAAGTAACTTATTCATCAGGTTCATCGCACCTAATATGTGGATAGATAAATTGGATACTTTAGAATTTATCTTAAATATAAATTATTCTTTTTAAACTGGTTACTTTCAGTTTTAATTTGCTAGAACTGTATTCCGCGGTGAATGGTATGTTTCGTGGAAAAATTGTTCTACGTCACGTTATTGAACAAAGTCTTCCGCGTGTTTCATTCGAAAAATGAGAAACTTTTTTCAGGAAACAGATATCTTGATTAGCAGGTTCTCATTATCAATTTCAAAGGAACACTGTAACAAAGCATAGAAATGATAATTGATCTGATTTAAAATGGTTATGGTGTAATGCAAAAACAGACAAAAATGCAAACTTTCTAGAGTAAAGCGTCCTTGACTTATACTCTCCACGCCTACATCCGTGCCAGAACTATAAACAAGAAAACTATTATTCCAAGTTATGGTCGACACTTCGTATAATGTTTCATAATGAAGACAATTAGACGGATATAGTTTCAATATCCTGAAAACGAAAAAATTTGGAGTGAAGATATGGTAATATTTTTATCATCAAATTTTCTTCTCTCTTCGATCTGCAAAGAAATTGTTTGCATTGTATTGTTTCTCTAAAAAACGAACTTTTGTAAATTATACATATAGAAGTATAACTTAAGTCTTAATAAATTACACTTTGATTCTTGTAACTATTAACAAAACTCCTCGGATTCTCTTTCATTTAGTTTCGTTTTATTTTCAGCTGTTTACATTACAAAATTATACCTTATAAAACTTGTTAGCTTTCATGAGCCATAAATTGATGCTAAATCGAGAAATTCATTTTACAAAGTTCCTGTTTCCTTTTTCGAAGGGCATGCCCATTTCCGTTCTACAGTTACTATATCGGTGCAATGTTTTCTCCGCGAAACATGTGATTCTCGATTGCAAATCATTATAAAGAGAAAGCAGAACGTCGAAAGCAATTCATCAAAAACCATCGATGATTCATTAAATGTCTTAAGACAGTTACAATATTTCGAGGCTTTAGGAAAGCGAATCATAACTTTTTCATGTTAAATCTTTTGAAAATAGATATATTGAATTTAATAAATTTATGATATATAAAAAAAATCAAACTAATTAGCAGAGCGAATATTGAAATTTCTCTTAAGAAATTTTCTAATGATATTTGTAATTACTTACTGCCAGAGTTTAAGGATAAAGTTTAAAATTAATTTTAAGCTGTTGGTTCACTTTTTAGAAACGAAATACCAGTCGGTTACATGGCACCATACGACGCAGCCAATTGCATCCAATCAACTGTGGTTAACATAAACGTTCGTTAATAGAGATCATTATCCAAGAATAATAATTCGTAGAACATTAGTCGAAGGAACGTGAATGTGTCACATTTTTTACTGTAACTTAGTAACGCTATCAATTAACGAAGAATGCAAATTAACATAATGATTGCACAGCTAAAAAAAATATTTACTATTACATTCACACGTAATTTCAATCTGTCTAACGACAATCAGTTTGATTACCTGATTACATGTCGAACATGCAAGTACAATGTACAATAAATTGTTTTATTATCTTTTTATAAGTATAGTTAGTAATTATTACTTACTGTACTATATGTACCTAACTATTATTGAAATTATTTCTTATTAACATTACACATTTATGGTATTATGGACAGAAACATTTAGAACTCTTACAATTAGATCTTCTGAATTTATTGAGATAGTTCAGGATTTCTCAATATGTGTCACACTGTATTCTTAACAGCTTCTGTCAGTCTGTCTGATACAATGATCCATCATCGGAGTTTCTCTGGTCGTTCGAAACTCCTAAAACTATAATCATCTTCAAGATTCTTTGAATTTCTTAATATGATCTGAATAATTTGGATATTCCTAAATATCCAAAAATACTAAACCTTAGGATCCATAAAGGGTATCATAAAATTTCATAAAATACTGAAACAGTTCCAAACTATTAACAATGAGACCTACAAAAGATTACTACATTGACGAAAATTGCATATACATTGTTCGTAGATTCAGATTCTCAAACGTCTCCACGAAATCGTTTAATTTACATTAATTCATACACGAAACGATTTACGAAATAATGCATGTTTACACGATTCTAAAACAGATTACTAATTGCCACTTATTTGTGCTCGGATATCTAATATTTTGGTTTTCATAGATAATTGTAATAGAGCAACTACTTACTAATCATGCATATACTAAACAGAGAGAAATTCGTATTTTTCTCTTGTTAATGTTATCAGATCGTGTCAATGAACATTGCCACGAATAAAACCTTTGAATTTTCTTTCATTAGCATACTATGAATTTATAAATTAATTACAAGGAGATTATTGGGAAACTATTGTCATTATGCAAAATATATTTATGGTTTACAAACAATGGCAGGTGTTACAAAATATTTTCCAGTCAGTTGGTCTCACAGAAAAATCAGATTAAGACAACCTTAAACTTTTAGCCTTTCAAACTTTTACTTTAATTGTAATAGTAATGTATCCTTGATTGTAATTCGTACACGTATACCGATCCTTTTATTTATAAATTTCAAGGAGTTTTAAAGGAGATTTTTATATAATTTAAAATTCGATCGATACATTTCTTATTAATTAGTGTCAAGGTCTATCATTTTTATTTCAATCAAGAATGCAACCAATAGTACATTTTTATACACGTAGAAATGTACATGTTACTGGAATTTTCGCGATTCCAGTGATGTATTAATAATGCTTGTTCCTGGCAAAATACTATGAACTACAAGAATCTTGGCTGGGAATCTCGCTCTAATTCGTAGAAATATCAAGAAAATAATTATTCCTCTGCAAAATATTGCGCGCTTTTTCTTCGATAAAATCTAAGAGATACTTAAATAACCTTTACCTTTGATAAAGTATGTTCTTTGCACACTCTTTAGTCATTAGAAATATTGTTCCTTCTGTTAAAGAAACTTTTTATATGAAATTTCAATTCTGGAGCCGCTCAAAGTACTCGAATAATCTCAAACACGAGCATATACAATCACGAGATTGAATATTCCTGACTTTTGAAAAGATTCTTGAATGTTCTCGATATATTTTTATAAAATTTTCGATACAAATTACTAAGGAAGGATACGCTTTAAATCGTATTTAATGTTTAGTAAAAAGTGAGGAAGTCATTTATAACATTTTTGTGGGAAATGATCCTGAATTCTTTTTGTTAAAATAAAAAATTCATTACTCTTTCAAAAAATGTGTACCTACGCCGATTAAAAGGTGATATCAGACACAATTTGCGCTTCTTCCGAGAAAACCGGTTTTACTTTTTGCACGATCTACTTTATTTTCTTGCTATCATTCGAATTGTTAGAATTCCGTCCACTGTCACAAGCATTCGAGAAGGTGTCATTCGAGAACTGGCCTCGATTGGGATGCGATATCTTGATGTAAACTAGCGACGCGACGGTTCACTTTCAATCAACATACATTGAACTATAAATTCATTTCCAATTACCAGGCTAATTGATTTTATATCGCGAATTATACATTCGGCCATTCTTTAATCTTGACGTTTATCGCTTTAATAAATAAAAATTACCATTATTGTGTCAATGGTAACTAAACGATTGTTCTCTCTGAATATAATAATAATAATGACTCCGATATATAGACATGTGTAACTGGATATTACAAGAGTAACTATGAAATAATAGAAAGACAATTTAGCACTTGAAATATTTCAATTAAATCGTTATTTTCATTTTTAGTTTCTCCATACCCAAAATTTCAGTTACTAAAGTTTTCACATTTAATTACACTAATTTATGCAATATAGTTAATATTGTATAATGATTATAAAATTAATTAAGTCGTATATAATATTTACTAATTTTAGATGTAAAATTTTCTTATATATTTTACTAGAAAACAGCCTAATTGTGAGTTTCATGATACCAGTGTTGCACTTAACAAGTAGAATCAGCAAATAATAAGTAAGGGGAATCAATAATATTTACGCTGATCTCATAGGTCTGTCGACTTTCTTCTCCTGTGTCATACATTGCAAAAGTGAACGTAATGAGCATATAATAAATGACTAGACAATTAGTGGCAACGAGCGATATATTACCAATTAGGTACAGCGATCGTACGATTATATAAGAAAAGAATCACAAATGTTTCAACGAAATGGAATGATCGCAATTTGCGTTATACAAGAGTTGCACACGTTTATGCGATAATTTCAACATAGTACAAAGCGGCAGGTGTTATTTAACTTGAATTCGTCAGAAATGATATCAAGGTTTCAATGTATTCAAATTTTATGCCCCAATTTTCGTATCTTTTTTCGTTACAAATAAATTACAATTTATTAACTGACCTTGTGCAAATTAATGTTATTTCAAGTTAGATTCATAATTGTAAAAAATAGGTGGTACTTAATTTGTGAAATCAGAATAATCATATTTTGCCAAAGATCACGGTTATTTACTATTTATTTTCTGCCTCTTTCATTTCATAATACAAATTATTGAAATAAAAAGGTTTACTTAGAAAAATAGAATTTTAATTTCCTGTAAAATCCACAACCTAATTAAAATATTTACTTACGATAGAATATTCCTGATTTCGATTTAATCGAGAATTAATACAAAAATGTAATAATAGAGAACAATAGTAGAGTAAAACGTATTAAGAAAATAGAAATAAAGGAAATAAAAATAAGGAAAATACAAATAAAAGAAATAAACAGAAATTGTATAAAAAATCAGTTTTGCTTTACTATGCAGTTATGACAACGCGTTCGTTAGCATCAGTTCATAAGTAAACATAGTTC